TGTTTTTTCTATTTTGCTGAATATCATTTCTTAGAAAGGCAATTTTTATTGGATGTGTACTTGTGACCGGCACTATACTATTATTAAAGGAAATAGTATTAGTCCTGAATAGAGACCCCAGATTTATGTGGCAACAAACATCAAATTATGCACGCAACACTTTGTAGATTATGCAAATTATGCGCTATATTTTTTTATTAACATTTTATAATAAACTTTATAATCTCATTAAAAACAAATAATTTTAAATAAATATTATTTGTTATTATATAAAACATTAAGCATTTCTAATGAATTTTCTAAAAGATTATGTCATCTATCACTTAAAATATTTTTGTAATATGAAAAGCTTTGTTCCACATCCACCCCAGACACTGGAAGCCACATATACTCTAAAGCAATCCTAGAAAGTAATGGTAATATTTGTTGTTTATCATTCCAATATTTATTTAAATCTAAAATTTCCTCCAAAAATTCATCATCACCACAATAAATACTCCATTCATTAATCAATTCATCTTCTGGATTTATAAATTCTTTGATAAATGAATATAACAAAATATTTTTTTGAGATGAAGAAGCTCTAATAAATTTTGGATTAAAACATTGGATTTCTTTAAAAAGTGGTAATGCTGAATGTCTATTAACATGTTTATATAATTTGTTGTAGGCAAGGTTAAAGGCTTGAGAAAATGTTGGTATTAAAGATTCTTCTGATACATTTTGAATTCTACATAAATCAATCATACTTTGATTTAAGGGAGGATTTTCAATGCCAGCTCTTAATAAATTCTTTGTATTTTCAATGTGTAAGAAAACATAAGGTGCTATAGCCTTGTCACAAATTTTAAAAAATTCCAAGTCCTGGATCAATCTATTTTTATTTTTAAAGTAATTACTTATCATAATTAGGAGGAAAAAAGATTTAAAATTTAAAATTCTATTACCTTCTTGCATTTAAAGTTATAAACTTAATGATTAAATGTAAATAAGAAATTCTATGAGGATTTGAAAAAATTTCATTTAATTGCATGATTGATTTTGGTGCATCAGAAATTAATGATTCTTTTGGAACAAATGAAACCAAATGTAAGAAATTAGCATCTAACCAAAATACAAAATTAAACCAACTATTCCAGCGAGTTTTAACTGGTAAAGGTGGAAGTTTTGAATCTCTGTCAGAATTATTTGCCTCTGTCAAATGTTGTAGCCATCTTTGTTTTCTTCTTCCACTATGTACAAATGCTGATTTAATAAAACCAACTACCTGATCTAATATTTTAAAGTCATCAAAATCTATCCATGTTCCCCCACTAAATTAAAGATATGAGCAAAACAAGTGTTGTGAAGTAAATTAGGTATTAAAGGTGATAAACAATCTCTAAATGCTTTTAACATATAAGAAGCACTATCACTAATTAAAAAAGTAAGTCTATCATAAGGAATATTATAAGAGTTAATTAATTGTTGTAACGATTAATTGGGAGATTGTTGAATAATTGACAATCTCTAAAAAAGAGGTCTTTACTAGTTTGGTATATTTTCCATAGCTAAATAAAATATTAACTGCACTATGACCACATGCATCCATTGTTTCATCAACTGTAATGCAAATATGCTTATCTCTAACTTCATTCATTATTTTGTTTATTGCTTGTTCATAAACTATTGGTAAATAATGCTCAAGTAATTGATTTGAGCCCACAATACCTCCTCCTGTTAATTATTTTTTAAAATTATCAATATTTTAAATTATTTATCAAATTATCAATATTTTAAAATTATTTATCAAAATTATTTACCTTCTTTAAAATTTTCTTTAAAAAATGATTTCAAAGAGTCAATTTTTTCCAAAGGTATGTTTGCTTCTACAAGTGTTTTTACTAGATTTATATTAATCCCTTGGCATTCAGATATATTTTTATGCAAAGAAGTGATGGTTTGTTGTCTTGGTATAACTCTGCTAGAATTTTGTATTTCTAATTTATTTTTTTTATGAGAAGTACTTTCTAAATGGTTGTCAATTGTTGACTTTTGTTTATGGTCTATTACATGTCTGCAAGAAATACAAAATAATTTTGTCCCATCAGCATAAAAATCATCTTTGTAATTTTTTTCTTTGGCTCTTTGGAAAGTGGAAACAACCATTTTTTATTTTTTTTATTTATGTAGTACAATTATGCAAAAATTATGCAAATTATGCAACAAATCATCAATTATGTGCTGCATAAATCATGCATTAAAAATCCAAATTATGCAAAAATTATGCAAACACATAAACCTGGGGTCTCTAGTCCTTAATTGCCTGGTTATTGCTGTCAGTGTGGTTCATTTACAACTACTGTTGAAGATTCTTCTACTGCAGCAATTTCTAACTGTTACCAAAAATTTTTTAATGTTGGGACTAGATTTTCTGGCATAAAGGTTATAGGTTTTGAAGATAAAATAATTTTGAAAGAATTATTGACTGATATTAGTTTTCAACCACTATCAATTCTGCTAGATAAAATATCCATCAATATATTCAAAATGGGGGTTTCGTCAAATGAGGAATGGCATAGAGCAGGTGAGCAAAATGGACATCCTATTTATCACAAAGTGACAAAATTGAACATCGATCTTTTTTATATTGTGAAACAGAAATTTTCAATTATTTTAAAGTAAAAAAAAAAAGAGGAATATTGGTACAAAAAAACTAATGCACCTTGCATATTATTTTTTTATATTGATAAGTTGTTTATTCTTTTCTTTATGTTTAGGCAAAATAAGATACTCAGATCTTGGTCCTATCAAAAACTAGATGAGAAACAAAATTTTTAAGGCGCATAACATAATAGTAGCATAGTGGGTCATAAGTAACATGACTAAAATACATTATAACAACAAAGAATGTTTTGCAAGAACATACCTTCCTTTGAAAGCCTTTCTTGGTTAAAAATAACCCAGTTAATCCAGCAGATTGCAAGATCTAAATAAGAGGTAAAAATTCCAAAAAGTATACAAATTTTTTACCAAGATGCGCAAAAATTAATACTTATTCTTTTTCATTTATTTCTTTAGACATAAAGGTAATTGTGTTAGTACATATTATTTATTACATATTGGGATGATAATAAATACACTAATAAAAAACGTTATTTATAAAAGGTAGTCATAAATGTATACACATATTTTTATTTATTTATTTATTACATATGGAAAGCAGTGTATAAAATTTGCTGATCAATTTTTGTGCATGTTGTACAAAATTTTTTGAGGAATTGTGCAAAAGTTGTTTAAAAATCGTGCATGTTTGCACAAAAAATTGTAAGTAGTTGGTTTTTTTGATTTTCTATGTGCATTATACATAGAAAAATGTAATAATGCAAAAATTTCTCATTGAGTTTGTGCACTATATTTAAAATTTTTGTTGAAAGTCTGCACAAAAATATTTATCTCATTGTGCACAGTTTAAGGGGGTTGTGCTCTGTGCACACTGTGCACATGAATTTTATACACTGTCGGAAAGTACATACTAATAAAAAACGTTATTTATACATGGATGCTGTATGATTGACTTGAGACACAAAAGGTAGTCGTAAATGTATTATTTTTTTTATTTTTTACATATTAGATAAGTACACACTAATAAAAAACATTATTTATGATTGATAGATGTTGGCCTTGTTTCTATTGTCCACGCCTCAAATAAGATAAATAAAAATTTGCTTCCAATATATACTTGATAAAACTTGCACACTTTTTTATAATTGGTTAAATGTTGGGTTAGCAAGATACATGCAAGAATTTATTAGCTGAAGCTTCATTAAAAAATAAAAATTTTCTTTAAAATTTTTGTGTAATTTATTTGGGCCAATCAAATTTGTTTTTTTGCGTGATAAAATCAAAATATGATCAACGAAAATCATTACCAATTATAAGGATGTCCATTATGCTGAGCAGGTGATGGCTATTTAAGCATGGTGGACATTCAAATATCATGTAAAATGTTACACAGATTATTTATATTGTTTGAAGTGCTCAAACTAGCCCTATCAATTTAAAATGGGTATATTTCCCCAATCACAGCCGAAGATAGACAGTTGTTCTTTGGGAATTGAATTAATTTGCATTTCAAGAGGGAATAACAGATATGGTGATGAAATAATACCAAAATTTACTTTAGACAGGACATAACTTACTAATCATGAAAATGTGATGCACATGGAAGAAAAACTAGAGTGCAGTATATCAAAAGTGATACAATATCCTCTTCGTCATGAAGCATTGAAAACCTTACCATTGGTCTCAGAAGAGATTCGACCCTATGACTTTGTTTATGATAGAAAACTTCATAGGTCTAGTTGCTTTCCATGATACTCAATTAACAATTATTGGTGAGTAGTGTAAACAATGTAAATGATCATGAAGAATATTCACCACAAGATGCAAGTATGACTGATAAATAAAAAACTTTTTTTTTTTTTAATCACTATGCTGAAGAGAGAACTCCATACATGAATACAGTTATTGTCAATAACACAGAAAAGTCAATATTATTTTAATTTTCAAATAAAAATAGAATTTGCAATTTTTCTTGCAAAAGTAAAATGTAAATATTTTATTTCAGAAATAATATAATCATGATCAAATACAATGTCATCAATATTCTTTGATCATTTAATTGATTGTCGATTGTTAATTTTCTTTTTGATTTAATTGTTGATGAATGGATATAGTCAAATGATTAATGATCAGAACCAATCAAATTTATTTTAAAAAAATAAAATAAAATAATTTGTTTATCTGCTTAGTTGATCAATAAATCTCAGATCTCAAGATAATAAATTCACTTGATTTTTTTAGTAATAATACTACTTTTTTTAAAACTCTTGTCCATTTTTTTGATAGTTTGTAATTACGTAGTAATTCAACAAAGAGTAAAAAGCGGAAATTAATTATTAAAAAAGTAGTAAATAATTTAAATCTAATGTAATTATTTTTCATGGAACCAGTTGAGGATTTTTATTTTCTCTTTTATATCAATTATTGAATATATATTTCTAATATTTATTTGCAGATCCACTCAAATTTAATTATTTTCTGCCCACTTTGCTTGTCACCACAGGGACCAATTTCAATTTTAAAATAAATGAAACCTACAAAGTGAACATGAAATTATAAAATTATATAGGAATAGGTGTATATGAAAATAATAATAAGTATTATGGTTCTAATGAATATCAAAAAGCAATTGATTTTTTAGAAAAAGGTTGTGATTGTGATTGTTCTTCAAGAATTCCCAAGGAAGAATTTGCAGAATTATGGGAATCCTTTCAAGCTCTTTCCAAGTCTGAACAATACATATTTTTAATGGCCCAACTTAAGGCAATGGATGGTGGATTAACAAGCACTAGCAGACA